TTTGACAGATAGAATTTTTTAAACATTTTTTTCATGTTCCTGGTATCTTACCTTACTTGAAAATTTTCTCTGGGGCACGAGTTCTGGCGCACCCTGTATAATAGGAAATTAAAAGTGCTTTTCAACGGTACTAAAAATAAACCGTTACCATGAATAATTCCCGTGGTATCGGCAATAAAACGCTCTAAGTACAGAAAATCGACAAAAATTTTGAAAAAATCAAAAATATCTCATACATTACTCGTCGTAGAGCATTTTAACATGTTGCATCGTGTCTACCGTGTGATTCTACGTCTAAAAAACTGTATTTCGGGATTTTTACCACTTATATTTGACTAGAAATTAAAAAAAGCAATAGATAAGTAAAAAAATGAATTTTAAAATTTTTTAAAAACTCGTTTTTCGCAAGAACAAAATTAAAAAAAAACATTAAAATTTGCTTTAAATTAGCTTTTAAGTAGTACTAAACATAAACGGTTACCATTAATAATTCCAAAATTATTGGCAATAGAACGCTCTATGTACAAAAAATCGACCGAAATTTTGAAAAAATCAAAAATTTCTCAAAAATTATTCATCGCTGAGCATTTTAACTGGTTGCATCGTGTCCACCGCGTGAATCTACGTCCAGAAAACTATGTCTTGAAAATTTTTGCGATTTATGTTTACTTATAAATTTTAAAAAATAAGTGAAAAATGGATTTTTCAAAATTTTAAATCGAAAACAGTATTTTTCACAAAAAAATAAAAAAACTGTTAGAATCTGCTTCTAAATATCTAGCGACTAGAGAGACATTTAAAGTTTTTTTGGTTCTTTAAAATAAAAAATTTGTAGTTTTAAAAATTTTCGTTCAAAAAATTTACTCGTCGTAGAGCATTTTAACCTGATTTGACGTTTCAAAAACTCGCTTTGAAAGTTTTAGTGAATTGTTTTGCCCAAAAATACCAAAAAAATGTCCCAAATTTTCAAAATGAATAGATGACGCCACTTGTTCAGTTACAGGAAACTGTAATTAAATCGCCCAAATTGACCCATTTTCTCGCACTGAAACTCAATTGAGCCTTATTTTCGAATCTGTTATTGATCTCAATGCCATCCAAGTTAATAATTACCCCAAGTAATGCGATCAAGTTGCGGTTCTTGTCACTTCTCGAAGGAGACATCAAAGCACTCCTCGCATTTCGCTAATTTTTCCATTTCAATGTAAAAATTTGCAACATTGTCACCCTCAGCAAACGAAATTATGCATTTGAAGCGTCGTAAATTTCGCTCTAATCGAGTGTTTTGAGATATGGATGCAATTAGCGTGTCGACAGTCTTGTTTTGATTTTTTTTGGACGACTTTTGTTCGATGTTTGCAATCCTGTTGGCAAATAGAAGGCTCTGATATTGAAATCTATTGTTTGAACGTCGCAGATATTGAAATGAAATAAATATCTTTGATCTGTTAATTCGAATTTTGGGGCGTGTTTGTGGTTGTCTTCTTGTCGTTTATGCTTGAATGAGTTGCGATTATTTCAGGTAGGGGAGACGGTGATGTGACGTGACATGGGGTTATGAATGACATATTGCACAGCCTACGTTATTTTTTTTTTATTTGGATGTGTAGCGCGAGTTGGAAGGCTTTATATAAATGGAATTTCAATTTGATTATGATAAATGGACGAGACTGCATGCCAGATGATTGGGTTTATTTAATTGACCACAATGACGTCAAAATTTTGTTTATTAAGTAGTGTTTTCATTTCCTGGTTGGCTGTATCGAATGTATGATTTTTTTTTGGAGGTTGGTAGCAGTGGCTCTTGTGACAATCAAAGTAGGAAAACACTTCAAGTTAATTGTTTTATGGAGGCTTAAAAAATGTTATTAGGTCAAGTTTGAAAAATTACGAATTTTTTGAAGGTGAGCGGTAGTAAAATGGTAAAAATAGTAAATTCACCTTAAGTCGTAAAAACGCTTAAAGCATGTTTTTCCAGACATAAAATTACACACGATGAAACAAGTTAAAATACTCTACGATGCACAGTTTTTCAGATATTGAATAATAAAGTTAAGAATAAGACTCGAAGCATAAGCACTATATCCGATTCTGACCAAAAAATCAAAAATTTTTGATTCTTATGAAAAAAAAACTAAAAATGGCTCTGTACCCGGAACCATAACCCGGAGCGACTTCCGGTTTGCGCCATTAGATACATAATATAAAGTAAATTTTAATGGTTTTCGCTCTAAGTCTTATAGTTTTGTAGAAAAACGCATTTCAAATTTCAAAATTTTGAAAATTTTTACTTTTTGAACGACGATTACGGCCAAACTATTAGACGTAGAGCAAAAAGCTGAACACCATCGTAATCAGCGTAAGAAAATTTATCGATTAAAACCAAAATGTTTGTCAAATTCGTAATTAGCGCGTCAAAATCTATCGGATAAAATAGGTTTAAACTGAATCTGAAACATGTTCAAAAACACTAGTTTCTAAGGTGGGTGTTTGTTAACAAATTTTTACTTTTTTTGTTTTGTAACAAAACTGTATCTCAATGATGAAGTATTTTGACGAAAACCTATGTAAAATTTTCCGGGGAATCGATTTTCGTCAAGAAAACTACAAAATTCGTAATAATTTTAAAGTTATCATCGAATTTATATTTTTGATATTTATTAATTTATCAGAAATTTTCTCGATAACTATTTATCGTAGAACACTGACTTTTTTGTCTATGATAGGAAATTAAATTTTCTTTCCAAAAATACCAAATACAAGATAAGACCGTTTCGGGTGCCAAAAATCGACCAAAATCTCTAAAATTGTTACATACAACATTTTTTACATTTATAGAAATCTTAAAGTTTCAAAAAAGTGCATAAAGCGTTATGGGGACAAGTTTAAAAAATTACAAATTTTTTGAGTTTATTAAGGTGAGCGGTATTAAAATGATAAAAATAGTCAAAAAATTACGCGTTGAATACAATGCAACTTAAAATACTCTACAATGCATAGTTTTTGAGGTATTGAATAATAAAGTTAAGAATAAGGCTGAAGACTCATCCGTTTTTGACCAAAAAATAAAAAAAAAATTGATTGTTATGAAAAAATAGTAGGTACTATATGTAAAATTAACCGGAGAATACGCTTGTACAAACAGTTTTGACCTAGGACACATAGTTTTTGAGAAATGACTCTTTTTTGAAAAAAATTGCAAATGGCTCTGTACCCGTAACAATAACACGGGGAGAGTTCAGGTTTACGCCATTAGATAGATAATTCAAGGTAGATTTTAATGATTTGTAGCTTTTTGCTCCAAGTCTTATAGCTTCGTAGAAAAACGCTTTTAAAGATTCAAAATTTTGAAAATTGTTACTTTTTGAACGACGATTACGGCCAAACTATTAGACCTAGAGGAAACTAGAGGAGATAGCGCAAAATGCTTGGCAAATTCGTTGCGGTGTATCTCAATGATAATATTTTGTCGTAATTATATGTAAAATGTTCCGGGAAATCGATTGGCGTCAAGAAAACTGCAAAATTTTTTCGATAACTATTTATCATAGAACACTGATCTTTTTCTATATGATAGAAAAAAAAATTCCAACCGTATCAAACATAAGAGATTGTCACCAATAACTCTGGAGTTATTGGCAATGGACCGCTCTGTATCTCTGTAACCAATATCTCGACAAAAATTTAAAAAAAAACTTTAAAATTGATTCATATAACGTTTTTTTTTATTTCTAGAGGTCTTAAAGACTCAAAAAAGTGCATAAAACGTTATTGGGTAAAGGTTAAAAAATTACAAATTTCTTGGATTTCTTGTACTAGGTAGTAAAATTTAAAAATTTTAAATTTACCTTAAGTCGTAAAAAAGCTTGAAATTTCCAAATCGACCCAAATAATATTTCTCCCACTTCTAAGTAAGAGTCCTTAAAGCCCTAAGAAGCGCACAAAACGATCCTGAATCAAGTTTAAATAAAAAATTGTATTCTAAAGTTTTAAAAATGTATATCCCCCAAAAAACCGTAAAATTAACTCGCAAAAAAGTCACGTTTATTAAAATAGAGACCAAACCCTCAAAACATTGAAAAAACAACCCAAATCGACATAATAAAGCTTCAAGTTTAAATAAAAAATTGTATTTTAAAGTTTTAAAAATGTATATCCCCCAAAAAAACCGTAAAATTAACTCGCAAAAAAGTCAAGTTTATTAAAATAGAGACCAAACCCTCAAAACATTAAAAAAACAACCCAAATCGACATAATACAGCTTCAAACTTTATTACAATTCAAACGGAGTCATGTCCCGTTTCATCTTTATTTCCCGTCAATCGATTCGCTTCATTAACTCCTCATTTTATGTACAAACCCCATCAATTCACCCTCACACGTGTCCCAACTTCACCTATTAATAAAATTTTTACAGTGCCATCGACCCTAGGCCATGTTTTTTCGGTCAAAATGCCCGGATTTTTCGCATCATCACTCCTCCTCCTGTGGACCTTCTCTGCCATCTTCGCACAAAACGGTAATAAATCCTTAATCTCATTCTCTCACAATTAAAAAAACGAGAGAATTTCAACTTAAATAAGCGTAGATGCAATTATCCCTTGACATTCTCATAATTACGCATTCAGCGAGCAAATTGACGGAATTTTTTCTTCCAGAAAACGTGGATTTAGTTGAGAAAGCGAACATTTGGGACGAACCAAATGGCCTAATGCGCATTTTAGGCCGTTGTTTAAACAATTCAAAAAATAAGGAAATACTTAAATCGGATTGGGCGTACAGATTCGAGGAAAATCAAGTCGTTTTAAGCACACTGGAACTTTTCCCGCGGGGATTCCCCCGAGATTTTTCCATTTTGACAGCTGTCAGACTCACACCTGGCGACATCTATCCGCTAGTCACTGTTTATAGTGAAAGTGGGGAAGAACAGATTGCTGTATCACTAGGAAATGACGTTATTTTCACTTATGAAAACACCAACGTTACTTTTAACATCTCTGTTGATGATGGAGAGTAGGTAAATACGTAATTTTTTTACAACCGTATTTAATTCGGTATTTTACCACCAGGTGGCATCGATTAGCTTTTAGCATTAAAGGGGATTCCATAAATCTCATTTATGAGTGCAATAACACTATAACCCAACCTTTAAAACGTTCAACCAATGACTTAATGACAGATGGAATCATTCTGATTGGTTACAAACTGACAGAAGAGAAATTTTTCAAGGTTAGTACCAAACTTAACGAGAAAAATCCCCCAAAACGTGTTTTTCAGGGCGATATACAATTATTGACAGTAGTACCAACCCCGGACGAGGCTTACGAATTGTGCAACAATTATGCACGTGATTGTAACACTGTAGTGGCCCTCCGGGAAGCGTTTTACACAAGCAGGGCTACCAACAGTACTTTAGAGGCTCAAAATTGGGCTAGTGGCAGCCGTGGTGATCTTGATTATGACGTTGATTTTAATACAGTACTACCAACTTTTGAAACTGTGACTAATTATCCTAATCTTCCAAGCTGGGGTTTTCCGGGTCCGAGAGGGTATCCGGGACCGCCGGGGCCTCCCGGTGCTCCAGGCCTTAAAGGTGACCCCGGACGAGACGGTTTAGCCGGCATGAGGGGCCAAGTTGGCCCCCCTGGACACGTTTTTATGATTCCGGTTAGTCAATTTCCCGTTTTTTTTATAATAATAATTTTTTTACAGCTAAATTTACAAAGTAATGAGAAGGGACCTGATAGTCAATCAGAGAATTTTCGCCAATTGTTGTCACAACATATGGTAACTATTTTTTTAAATCAATGTTGGCAACACTGACAGTTATTTGAAACTATGTTAAAGATGTCGATGAGAGGAATTGAAGGTCCGATGGGATTAACCGGAGTTCCGGGCCCTCAGGGCCCTCCTGGTCCCGATGGGATGAAGGGGGAACCTGGAGATGTAGGGGAACCGGGCCCTGGGGGTGAAAAAGGGGCTTTGGGTGCTCCCGGCCGGGAGGGTAGAAGAGGGAGGCCTGGTCGGGATGGGGAGAGAGGGATGACAGGTCCTCCGGGACCTAAAGGAGAACAGGGATTATTGGGATTACCGGGACTTCCAGGTGATAAAGGCGAGCGTGGGGCTCAAGGATTAGTCGGCGAATCGGGATTAAGGGGTCACGATGGGATGCAAGGCGAGGAGGGACCTCCCGGGCTTCCTGGAATGCCTGGAGAGATGGGTCCTCGGGGATTTACCGGGCCTCGTGGATTACCTGGAGTGCCAGGCCCGCCTGGAATACCAGGAAATGAGGGTCCTGTGGGTTCTAAGGGACAAATTGGGCCTCCTGGATCACCTGGAGCACCTGGTCAAAATGGTCCTCCCGGAGCGGTTGGCCCTCCTGGACCTCAAGGATTACTCGGACCGCCGGGGATTATGGGTCCGCATGGTAAACCAGGAATTCCTGGATTGCCGGGTCCAGAGGGAGCGCCTGGAAATCCGGGGAGTCCAGGAGTGATGGGTCCGAAAGGAGAGCAAGGACCGGTTGGACAGACGGGTCCTGTGGGATTCCCGGGACCTCGAGGTGTGAAAGGGGATGAAGGGAAAAGAGGAGTATCTGGAGAGAAGGGAGATAAAGGGGATAGGGGTTTGGAAGGAGAGAAAGGGGAATTAGGGATAAAAGGAAATATAGGTACTGTGGGATTACCCGGAATCCCGGGATTAGAGGGACCCGAAGGACCGAAAGGTTTTGATGGACCCAGAGGAGAAACCGGAAATGTGGGATTACCGGGAGAGAAAGGGAAAGACGGGCCTCCGGGACTTCCAGGATATCCTGGAAACTCCGGCGAAAAAGGGGATAAAGGAGCTGGGGGAAAAATCGGGGAAAGTGGGGAGAAAGGAGACAGGGTTGGTATTCTTTATTTAGCAAATAAAAAATTCATTTGTTTTTAAGGGAAATCCGGGGACTCCGGGTGAAAGAGGCGAGCCTGGTCCTCGAGGTTTTCGAGGTTCACGTGGTCGTCGAGGTCGTGAAGGTTTACAAGGTCCTAAAGGAGACACCGGGCAACCTGGACCTCCTGGACCTCAAGGCGAAAGGGGAATTTTGGGTCCTGAAGGACCTCGTGGTTTTGTCGGAGCGCCAGGTCCTCCAGGACTTAACGGAAAAGATGGCCATCCTGGAACACCTGGAGAACGTGGATCTCCTGTAAGTTAAATAAATTCAAGGAAAAAATAATTTGAATTAGGGTGAACCAGGAAAACCGGGAATGATGGGCCCTCCTGGAGTGATCGGACCTCCGGGACCAATGGGAGAAGTAGGACCTATGGGCGAACATGGACCTCCTGGCCTTCCGGGAATTCCTGGAGAGGCTGGTCTACCTGGAGAAGCGGGGAAAGAGGGAGCTCCAGGAAGTCCTGGACCGGAAGGAAAACCCGGCCCTGAGGGTCCAACGGGATTACCTGGATTTCCTGGCGAAAGAGGATTACCAGGATTGCCTGGAATTCCGGGCCTTAAAGGCGATATGGGACTACCAGGGACTCCCGGAGTTTCTGGAGATAAAGGACAGCAAGGAGAACCGGGAAAGGATGGCCCGCAAGGTCCCGAAGGTCGAAAAGGTCCACCAGGATCACCGGGTTCTTTTGGCGCTAAGGGAGAACGTGGTGAACCTGGACCTTCCGGTCCGTCAGGAAGAGATGGTTTGCCGGGATTAAGGGGATTACCTGGAGCTCCAGGTCCTGTAGGACTTCCAGGAGAAGATGGAGATAAAGGCGATATTGGTCCTCCTGGAGAAAAAGGATTTAAAGGAAATCAAGGAGAGACCGGACCTTCAGGAAGTACAGGTCCCCCAGGTCCAAGAGGAGAACCAGGTCCTGTAGGACCGCCAGGAGACAAGGGCCCACCGGGTGAAATAGGACGCCAAGGTTCCAAGGGCGAAGATGGTCCTGTGGGACTTCCAGGTCCTGCAGGACCAACAGGATTGCAAGGATATCCTGGACCTCAAGGTCCTAAAGGGGAAATTGGAGATGTTGGTCAGAAAGGTCCCCCGGGAGCAGCAGGAACATCAGGAGAACCGGGCCCTAGAGGAGTGAAAGGAGCCAATGGTTTACCCGGGTTGCCAGGACCCGAAGGTCCTCCAGGAATAAAAGGAGATTCGGGAATCCCCGGGCTTCCTGGACCTCCAGGAAATGATGGAAAACCGGTAAATCCCCCCAAGAAAATTATTTTGTTTTGATTAAAATTTTAGGGAGAGAGGGGGCCACAAGGACAAAAAGGAGAAGACGGTAAAACTGGTCTTCAAGGCCCTCCAGGTCATAGAGGACCTCCCGGAAATGAAGGTCCTAAAGGATCACCAGGACCTGAAGGTTTTCCTGGTCCTCCGGGGGAATCCGGTATTCAAGGCCCAAAAGGAGAACCCGGAAAAGATGGTGAAGATGGCCGTCAAGGAGAAACGGGACCGCCGGGACCCCCAGGACCTGGCGGTCCCATGGGAACACCAGGTCTTCCAGGAAAACCGGTACAAAATTCTCTAAACTGTTTAACCAAAAAAAAATCAAAATTTTGTAGGGACTTGAAGGTCCTGCCGGTCTTCAAGGACCGTCAGGACCTCCTGGTGAAAAAGGCGATATTGGTCAAATCGGTCCTCCAGGTCCCCAAGGAATGCTAGGACCTCAAGGCCTTCCCGGGCCTCAAGGACCCCCAGGATTAATCGGAGCCCCTGGCGTAGCAGGGGAAAACGGAGCTCCAGGTTCACCCGGCTTACCGGGACTTCCTGGAAAAACTGGAAATCCAGGTCCTGAAGGACAAAAGGGAGATCGGGGAAAAAGAGGTCCGAAAGGACACCGTGGCGAAATGGGATTATCTGGGATTAAAGGGGATTTAGGCGAGAAGGGAGATAAAGGGGATAAAGGACCTCCAGGACCTGAAGGACGTAAAGGAGAGACAGGACCTGAAGGCCCCATGGGATTCAAAGGTAGCGAAGGTCCTGCAGGACCACCAGGAATGGACGGACCACCAGGACCAAAGGGAGTGGAAGGCCAAACGGGTCCTAAGGGCGAACCTGGACCCCCAGGTCCTGCAGGACCGCCAGGACCTCCAGCGGAAATGCCGCTACTTCCGCCGGAAATGCTTTTCGAGAGGTCTTCTGGTAGAGAGAAACGCCATCTTGATGATATCATGTAATTACAGTTAATTAACTCAAATTTAAGTAAAATTACAAAATTTTAGATCCGAATATGAAGAACCAGAAACTGATGACGTCACGGGAAAATTCCTGGAAATGTACAATACCATCTATTCGATGCGACAAGACTTAGAAAGGGTGAAAAAACCTATAGGAACCCGGGAAAACCCAGTCCGGTCCTGTAAAGACCTATTTTACGGCCACCCCCAATTTCCTGATGGTACTTTTGACCCATTTCTCAGACATGGTTGCAAAATTATGTTCCAGGATGGTATTGGATTGACCCAAATTCGGGAATGACTGACGACGCCATCTACGTTTTTTGTAACATGACAGCAGGGGGCGAAACTTGTGTTTTTCCAGACGCCCACAGTGCCAATATGCCCAATATTCCTTGGAGACAAGAAGGGGAAAAGAAGGAATGGTACTCCCATCTTCGTGGGGGCTTCAAAGTACTCCAAAACCACTTATTCATTGTCTAAATTTAAAAAAAACATATTTTAGATAACTTACGAAACAGTGGGAATCGTCCAAATGACATTTCTTAGACTTCTTTATGAAGAAGCTTACCAAAATTTCACTTTTTCTTGCATCAACAGCGCCGCATGGTTCAATGAAAACTCCCACAATTACAAAATGGCGATTAAATTTCTCGGAGAAAACGAATATGAATTTTCTTACAAGAAAACTGGAATTAAGGTTATACAAGATGGGTGCCAGACTCGGAATACCAAAAGTGAGACTATTTTTGAGCTAAGGACTACCAAATTGGACCGTTTACCTATTATTGATTTCCTGCCAGTCGACTATGGGTCTCCCAACCAGGCATTTGGGTTTTCCGTCGGCCCCATATGTCTCAAATAAAATTCTAACCCAACTTTTATTATAGCACCTTATTTATGAATTTAATTAGGAAATGTAAATATTTTACAACACTGCCATTTTTGTGTGTACATATTTTTAAATAAATGTTGAAATCTGAAACGTTTTTAATAATTGCCCCCTTAACTGTCACCCAAACGAGCCGCCCATGTCTGGAAATGTCACCAAATCTAGGGTTTTTCATACAACGAGGTTGCCACGTCAAGGTTTTTATTACACGTCCTCACGAATAAAAAATAATAAAACAGACGAGATAAACTGATTAAAATATTTTTATTCAAAACATATTTATTACTAGTGTTTTGCCAACATCGAATATTCCATTGAAAAACATAGGTTATGTGTGTGATAATTTTTGTTGTGCTCGAATAAAAAGTATGTGCGATTGTACCACAATGGGAGGGTTTGCTACAGGTAAATGTGTTGGTTTCATCTAATTATTGTGCGTTTTTATCTGAAAATCGGTGTTTTTTCGTCGAAAATCTGTTTTTCCAATAGTAATCAAGTGGCCGTGATTTTCTTTTTTTGACATCTGTCAAAAATAACCTACCGTATGTTGCGTGTTATTTGCGGTTAAAATGTGTTTTTTGTGTTTATTTTTGTATAACTAAACCATTTCAAGGAACATAATTGAAAAATCAATGATTGGTGGTAAATAATTCTCGATTATTGACCCCCGAATCCAGAGTGAGGTTAGGTTACTATTTTCTGTCATTGGGTGAGTGAAAGTTGTTTTAAATTGATTTTCTCCCACAGTTTGAGCCATGTCCTGGGTCAAGAAACGGGGGCAGACGCCCAATCCGGGGACCACTCCACAAGTCCCCATGTATAACCCCAATCAACATTCCAATCAAGAGGTACAAATTGTGTTTTCGAGTTTGTGCAAGTGTGACAATATGTTTTGTAGAATCACTGGCAACAGCCCCCCAGACCGGACCAGAATCCCAACTACTGGCAACAAAACTACCCTCAGAACCCCCAAAACTACTACAACAACACCTACCAGCAGCCCCCTTATGGCAATTTGCAATACAACCAACAATACTCTCAGAATAACTTTGAGGGGGCGCCGAATGAAGACACTTGGGGCTCCAATTGGGGCTGGGGGGACGAAGACAACTCCAATACTCAAGCCCCCAACATTGCCGAGAGTTTCGCCAAGGACGAGGCTTGGAACTGGAATTTGGACGAAGCGAAACCTAAACCGGAACCGGAAACGTCCATTGATCATATGACCGGAAAACGAAACAAACTCGAGACCCCCCAATGGTCAGTGGAGTCTCAGATGTCTCAAGAGTCCTCTGATGATGTTTTACAAACGTCAGAAAGTGATAAAAGTCGGATGCTGTCGCGGAGCTCTACAGTGTCACACTCGCCGATTTCAGGCGACGTTGGGGGCCCCCATGTCGAAAACAAGGAAAACTTGTCTCAGGAGGTGCGCCCCAAACCGGGGAAATTTCCAGCATTTCAAAGTGTCAATCTCGAGTCGCCTCCTGACAATTCCGAACAACCGGACCCGATAAAGACTTCGCCCCCGTCACGTTTTGAAAACAACGAAGCCCCTATTAATGACCGAAACCAGTACCTTGAAACGGCCCAATTGTCCGACGTTGATTTTACAAGGGCCCCCGAGAGTCATCCTCAGGATGATGTACAGCCCCCGCCGGGTTTGCGTCGCATGGTGGGCGGAGCCGAGTCGAGTGAACCCCCCGAGGGTTTACGAAGGATGATTCCGGGCGAGTCGAGTTCACCCGAAACTAGTCTACGACCAAATCCGAGTTCCGAAAGATCGGAAACGATCGGAGCCGATTCAGTTGAGGTCCCAAAAGTCGATGATGGAGTGGGGGGGTTGGTGTCTTCGGTCCGGAATTTGACAGTGGGGGATGAGGATGAGACGAATGAGGGGAGTGGGCGGAGACACAGTCGGGAAAGTTCGGAAAGTGAGCACGAGAGGCGGTCCAAATCGCCGAGAAGGGATCGCAGGAGGGAGAAAGATGATCGAGAGAGAGAGAGGAATAGGGGGCGGTATTCACCCGATAGGAGGGATAAAAGGCGGTACAAAGGACGGTACGAGGAGGAGTCGGATTATTACAGTGATAAGGAGAAGGATAGGAGACATGAAAGGGATTACGATAGGAAATATAATAGTTTGAGGAAGGAGAAGGATAAGGATAGGAGAAGAAGGGATTATGAGAGGCCGAAAAAGGATTATTATTACGGGAGATATGAGGATGATTTTGAAAATGAATCAAGGTCGAGGGCATCAAGTCGATCCGATTCCATGCATGAGTCGTATCGGGAGAGAGGGCATGATCGGAGGGATCGAAGGCATAAAGAGAGGGAGAGGCATAAGAGACGCATGGACCCGTTTAATCCCTACAATCAGGTAAGTGCTGTAATTTCAAATTTGTAAACTCGTTTGTTAATCGGCGATTGAAAACCTTGATAAGCACACTTGCTACTCAGAATTAGAGCTTATATTAATGAAATAGGAAGGAATAGTTTTTTGATATTTTTTTGACGAAATTTAGTATTAATAGAAATAGATTATGTCTTCTGCGGATCGGCCAATGAGATTTTGGGTGAATATAAATCTAGTATTATGACAGAAAGTCACCATTTCGGGTGTCAAAACTCAAATTTGGCGCCAATTTCATTAAAGCACTCTTTTAAATTTTGGCGATTTTTTTTTTCAATTTTAATGTAGAAACATAGCTGTAGGGGTATTATAAATTAAATTTTTAATGAAAAGTTGTTATTTTCAGATGTTAAAATTTAAATTTGGCTGTATTTTTCATTAAAGCACTTTTTTCTAAATTTAAATTTTAGTCTTTTTCTGAGGTTTTATCGTAAGAACACGGTCTTTTGTGCAATATAAATTCACTGTGAATTGTATCAATTTTGGGTGTCAATTCAAATTTGGCTCCAATTTTATCAAAGCATCTTATTTATTTTTTCAATTTTTTTTATTGTAAAAACACAGTTTTTGGGTTATTATAAATTGAATTTCTGATGTAGAGTTGCAATTTCGGATATCAAAACTCAAATTTGGCACCATTTCATTAAAGCATTCTTTTCAAAATTTAAATTTTGACTGTTTTCTGACGTTTTATTATAGGAAGACGGTTTTTTGCAATCTAAATTCAGTATTTGCCTAAATTTTACCAATTTTGGGTGTCAAAACTCAAATTTGGCGCCAATTTCATTAAAGCACTCTTAGATATTGGCGATTTTATTCAATTTTAATATAGAAACATCGCTTTTGGGGCATTATAAATTGAATTTTTAATAAATAGCTGTTATTTTCAGATATTAAAATTTAAGTTTGGCACCATTTTTTATTAAAGCACTCTTTTCTTAATTTAAATTTTGCTCTTTTTCTGACGTTTAATCGCAAGAACACGGTTTTTGTGCAATATAAATTCAGTATTTGCGTAAATTTTATCAATTTTGGGTGTCAAGATTCATATTTAGCGCCAATTTTGTTAAAGTACCCTTTTAAGTTTTGGCGATTTTATCCAATTTTAATGTAGAAATACAACTTTTGGGGCATTATAAATTGAATTTTTAATTGAGTCATTGTTTTAGATATTAAAATTTAAATTTGGCACCATTTTCCATTAAAGCAGTTTTTTCTAAATTTAAATTTTGGCTTCTTTTTGATATTTTATCGTAGAAACACAGTTTTTGTGTAATATACATTTAGTATTTACGTAAATTTTACCAATTTTGGGTGTCAAATTTCAAATTTGGCGCCAATTCCATTAAAGCACTCTTTTAAATTTTAGGGATTTGTTTAACTTTAATGCAGAAACACAGCTTTTGGTGCATTATAAATTGAATTTATAATGGAGAGTTGCATCTTCGGATATCAAAATTCAAATTTGATGTCACTTTTTAATAAAGTACTTTTTTTTAATTTAAATTTTGACACTTTTTCGTTATTTTATACTTCGAAAATTTTATTTTTTTGCAGGCTTTCGGCTTTGACATCTACAGCCAGTACTACCAACAATACCACTACTACGAGAACTTGCGCAAGACGAATCCTCAAGCCTACGCCCAGCTCTACCGCAAATACTATCAGGAGGCGTCTGGTGAAGCTCCTTACGGTACTGAAGACCGCGCTTCAGTGCATTCAGGTCGCAGTTCTGCCAACGACGAACTAGTCAAAGACAGGTAGGGCTACCAACTTTGACATAACTACCACATGTTTGTGCTTAAACAATCACATTTTCTCCTCATAACAGTTCACACACTCAAGCTTTGACGTATTTTGTTTGTTGTAAGAATTTTTTTTGTAAATCCCATACAGGTATACGCGTCAGAGCTATTATAGTCAAACGAGTTTGCCACACTTAGGAGCTTACTACAGAGGATCTCAAACACATAGTATATCGGGTCAATATGGCCTCGATGACTCTAGGTGAGGTCAACACCCTCTTACGACAGTTTATGTAACCTCTAAAAAATATATCTTATGTAGTGCATCTATGGATAAGTTGGAAAAATTACTAAATTACGGGGCTATGGGTCATGGTTTCTTTGCTTGCATGCTTCATTTGTTTTATAGTTTCATTGATATATATGTCAGGCGATTCCGCCATTTTGATGTCAAAAATTGTATTTCAAAATGGCGTAATCGCCATTAAATCGGCATGAATTCGTCATAAAACAATTGAATTTTGTAGTTTTGTGCGCACTCTTGATCAGACCGACACCTCATTAAATTACGAAGATCCGAATTTGACAGCTCAACGTTTAACACCAGCCAAATTTGCAACAGCTCACATTAAAGCTTCCATAAATTGTGGTAAAATGGTGAAAATTCTTCCACACTATCCACTTGATGGTCAAGCATCAACTGTTGAATTGTGTAGTTTAGAAAATTTTCTCTACAATGATGAAGACTATCAAGAGTTGAAACGTTTTCCTGGACCACTAGCCAAAGGAACGACACATAAAAAAACAATCATTGAATATTGCGAAAATAAAATAAAAAATGCCGTTTTTAATCATATTAGTGATAAGGAATCTTATATTTTAATGTGGGAATTGTTGATTTTGTTAATAAGACAAAATGGGGTAAGTTGGCCGTGGAAAAAAAATGGTTGTGATTTTGACAGTTGTGATTTGTAGATGGTTGTGGGTGCTGATATTGCAGAATTGTTGTTAAAGAATCGGACACAAGATGGCGCTCAAAGGGCGCCATCTGTCATCTCGAGTATTGGTAGTAATACAGTTGAGGGCGAAACAAATGAAAATCAACCAATCGCAGCATTGAAGGAAGAGGAAATTACGAATAAATTCCGCGATTATTTGCTCTACGGATCGGTCAAGGAGGCTTTGGGTGATTATAAATCCATTACTAGGAAGAAAAATGCCATTTCGTGTTCCAAAATTTAAATTTGGCGCCAATTTCATTAAAGCACTTTTTAAAATTTTAACGATTTTATTTATTTTTACTGTAGAAATACAGTTTAGGGGCAGTGTCAACTGAGTATTTGATAGACAGTCGCCATTTTGAAATTTAAAAATATGACAGAGATTCAATATTTTTATTATCAAAACTCAAATTTGGCGCTCTTTTTATTAAAGTACTTTTTTTAATTTAAACTTTGGCACTTTTCTGACATTTTTATCGCACTATAAATTGAGTGTTTGCTCAAATTTGACTGAGTGTTATAATTCAAATTTAGCGACAACTTTATTAAAGCATTTTTTTAATTTTGGCGATTTATTTAATTTAGTTATTGAAGTACAGCTTTTGGCGCACTATAAGTCGAGTACCTGATTGACGGTCGCCATTTTGAGTATCAAAATTTAAAAATATACCAGAAATTTACCATTTTGATACCAAAATTCAAATTTGGCGCTTTTTTTAGCACTTTTTTGAATTCTAGCTATTTTATTTAATTGTACTGCTGAATCTAATTTTAAGGGCACTATAAATTGAATATTTGACAGACAGTGGCTTTTTGAGTGTTAAAATTCAAAAATTTGACATAAATTTACAAAAAAAATTAAATTTGGCGCCACTTTCATTAAAGCACTCGTTTTTAAACTCAAGTTTTGGCGTATTCTGTTAAAGTAGAGTTCGTCTATTGTTGTTTTTTTGCAGAGTGGGCTATGAAGCACGGCCTTTGGGGCCACGCCCTTTTCCTGGCTAGCAAATTAGACAAGCGAACTTACGCCAATGTTTTAATGCGATTCGCTAACGGATTGGCTATGAACGACCCTCTCCAAACTCTCTACCAATTGTTGTCGGGTCGTACGCCGGCTGCTGTCACCGTTAGTAGAAAAAAAATTGTATGTGACTTTTGTTCACAAGAATTTTTGTAGTGCGTTGCTGATGAAAAGTGGGGTGATTGGCGCCCCCATCTCGCCATGATTTTGTCGAATTCGACTGAAAGGCCTGAAGTGAATTGTAAGGCTATTACAGTCCTGGGTGATACTCTTATGGGGCGTGGTAGTTTATACGCCGCCCAGTTTTGTTATTTAATGGCAGAAGTTGGCTTTGGACGGTATGGGTGTGCCGAATCAAAGTTGGTACTACTGGGATCTAATCATAATCACGCTTTTGGCAAGTTTGCAACCAATGAAGCGATTCATATGACGGAGATTTACGAATATGCACGAAGTTTGAACGATGATGAGTTCTCATTGGTTAATTTTCAAGTAAGAGCCAATTCTCGTTTTTTGATTGGTTGAAATGTTTCTCTTTTTTTAGCGTTTTAAATATTTGCTATCGACGCGATTGGCTGATGTTGGGTTGTTGGAAAAATCGCTGTCATATTTGGAAAAAATCGCCATTTTTATTGTGAAAAATCCGACAAGTGTCGATATTGGATTGGTTGATGATGTGACGCGATTGGCCGATCGTTTGAAATACTATGATCCAGTAGGCGTCGGCGATGGTGATTTTGACACCAGTCGACTTGATCATTCCTGGTTGGAGGATTTGAAACGTGTTCAAAACGATCTCAATGTAACTTTTATTTATTTTTTATTACGACTAATTATAATTAATTAATTTTAAGGTTGGTCATATTGCACAACAAGGTGGTGCGTGTTCTACTTTACCAACCCAAATTAATGATCAAATTTATTCACACAATCAAGATAGCTGGCAACAGCAACAATACGATCAGTACCAACAACAACAATGGAATCCGGAACCGGTTGAACCGCCGGTACAACAGGAAACAAATGAAAGTGTGTAGTGTGTTTCGATTGGTCGGTTTGAGATCACATGATTGGTTGCAGGTTTAGGTTTTAATAATTATCAAGAACAACAACAATATTGGACGGGACAACAACAATGGAATGAACAGCCGATATTACAGGAAACTGTAAATCAACAACAACAACAAAACTATTATGGTGCTGCTCAAACCGAGGTAGGGAAATAAGTTTTGTGCACAATTTTGTTTGTACAGGTGTTTTTTGTGAATTTTTATAAATTTGTTGCTTCATAATTTTTGAACATCCGGTATGAGAATGGTTTAATTTTATTGTTTAGAAGGGTTTTTTTATTTTTTATAAATTTGGTGAGTATACCTGGTGTGTACTACAAGTTTGGAACCGATAACTTTAAGGTGAAACTTTCAGTTTTTTTTTGTTTCGGAAAAAATGTAACACTCTGTATGACGGAAAAATATAGTTTCATTTTTTTATTTTATTGTTTTTGAGACAAAACAATGTTTTATTTATTTTTATAAATTTGTAGACTATATCGGGAGTGTGCTACAAGTTTGAAACTTTTTTCCCAAAATAAATTTTGACCGGCTAGAAATTTTCTTTGAAAAAAAATATTTTTCGGTGAAACTTTCAACATTTTTTTCTTGAATAAGATATCGACAACGTAGAAATTTTTTGGGACAGGTGTTCTTGAAAAATTATACAGGGTGTTTTTTACAGAAAACGCTTGTTTTATTTTATTGCTTTTTAAGTTTTTCAACACGCAGTATGAGGGGATAAATATGATTTAATTTGTTTAATTTATTATTTAGGAGACGAAACAATAAAAATTTTGATAAATTATAATTTTTTTATAAATTTGAGGATTATACCGGGTGCACCACAAATTTGGAACCGATGATTTTTTGGTGAAACTTTTATTGCTTTTTTTCGGGAATAGGGTAAGAGTTACTAGGACGAATGTGCTCTTAAAATTACGCTGTTCAATTTTTATTACAAAAAAATCGAATTTCAAACTTTTAACATCAATTTTTGTTTTTTTATTGCTTAACGTTTATAATTTTCGATTTATTTAATCATCTGAAGGGTGTTAGAGGTAAGAAAATGAAAAACTCTCTAATTTTTACTTGAAAAAATTTTGTTGATTTTTTAACTGAGTTGTGCTTTTGTTGTTTTTCGTGCCTTTTCGGACGCAGCCGGAACAAGTTGAAAACTCCTCAGCTGACGTAAGTACATGTCCGTCGCTCCTTCCGTCATCGTCCGTCAAGTCATCAACGTTACGTAAACGTCAAAAAACCGAAAAACTAAATCAACTGAAATCGCTCGATAGCGTAACCGAACCGATCAAACCGAAACCGACTCATACATTTAACAAAAAAACGAAAATCTATCCGTTTAAAAATCGCAGCGCCGAAGATTTTATCAATTCGGATCTTGAAAAAAACATTTTTTATAAAAATGAGGAAAAATCTCAATTGATTTGTTACAAAGACAATATGAAAATAATCGCGATTAAAAACGATTCAAAACTGACGAAATACAATACTTTTGAGATGAAATTGAACGACAGGAAGGGAAAAATCGTGAAATATAAGTCGGTGGAAAATCCCGAAACCTTGGTCAAGTATTACGACTCGGACAGTAATGTCGCAATTTCCGCACAAGAGTTTAATTCCGATTTTAAATTGTCGAAATTTGATAGAAAAAAGCACAAACATGATATTATTACGGATACGGTTGATTGTTGGGCAAAGAAAGTACCAACTGGTATGTTTTCTAACCTCAAAAACTCGATTTTTAAGAACAAACCGGTCAAAGAAGTGCTGTATAAGCCGTTGGTTTTCGGTGGTACTTACCCCATTGACGTACCATTGGATAAAATTGAAAGACCGAAAAGTACCGAATGCAAAAACGTGACTGGTACGAAAATGGTACCGAAATTTCGAGAATACGGCCCACCGAAAACTTTCGACATTGACAGACCGATCTAGACCTAGTTTTTGTGATCACACTATAGATAAAATGGCCTAAAATAGATGTGTGTTGTTGTATTGTTACTAGCGCCATCTGTTGTTGATCGCTTATATATTTTTTAGAATTTTTTAGAACACACTGTATTTTGCAATCTTTATTTTGAATAAAAGTGGTTTAATGTTGAGTCGATTTTTATTAAATACCGTTTGTTACAAGTTTAGTCGCACGAGGCGCAACCGAGTGCGTCACAACCATCAAATGTAGCGAACGGTTGTTTCACTGTGTAATAATAAATTGCCGCTCTGTATTTATCCAGGATATTCCACAACCGCAAATCTCGCTCCCCAATCAACGCGAAGCGGCACAAAAGTCCGACAGTGTACCCACTGAACCGAAAAAAGAAGTAACCAAACCGAAAACTACAGAAGCAGTTCAGGACAAGCAAAGCGGTTGGTTTGGTGGTATTTTTAATAAGTTAACCTTGAAACCGAAGAATCAAATGAAACTACCCGATGATAAAAACCCAACGGTGAGCCATTTCCGGTTTGGTGTAACCGATCGGTTAATTTTTTTTTGACAGATTTTGTGGGATTCGGAGAAAAAACGATGGGTGAATACCGATGAGGATAACGGAGACGGCGCAAATGACTTTAAACCGCCCCCTAAAATGGCCGAAATGGCACCAGTGCAGCCAACTTACCACCCACAAGCACAAAAACCAGTGGAACCAACGCAGGAAAATGGAAATGCCCCGAAACCACCACAACCCACACAACCCAATATGTTCAAGTTGCAGAAAAATAGAAGTAAGTAGGCGGCGATTTGGCGCGAAATTCAAATTTTTAGAAAAAAAAATCGAACAAGACCTATAAATACATTGATAAATAATCGCCATTCTGATAGTTTTGGCCGGAAAATGTGATTTTAAGTTTTCAAGTTCGAGTTTTGCGTCACTTTGAGTGGCGCGAAATTCAAATTTTGATGAAAAAGAAATAAAAATGTTGAATTTTTTGGGCGAAATAGTGCTTTAACTTGTTTAAAAACTGCTAAATAACTGTTATTATGCTAATTTTGTGATGATTTTTTTTGGTTTAGACATCAAAAAATCCTACATCGACGTGTTCAACCCGGCCGGCAAGCCGGCTCAAAGCGTTGCCGCTCCCGCGCCGCTAGGTGGCGCTCCGCATGCCCAGCCGCCTATGAATTTTTTTATTCCTCAACCGGTCAATGACCCCAACGCGCCAACCGATTTTCTGACACCATCGCCACCCATGCAGTTCAATAATGACACACAGGTATGCCAACCTAACCGATCATTCGTCCATTTTAATAATGATTTGGACTTTTCGTAGCGGGGGAAATTTAACAAATGAAAAATCTTAAGTAAGATTTTGTTTTTTGTGCATGATGCTGCATGAAAGCATGGTGCATCACACTGTATATATTTTGGTTTAAGTGGCGCACACTGCTTTTTTTGAAATTTTGTGGTTGTGTGGTTTTTATGTGAGGTTATGGTAGATGTCTAGGTGGAGTTCGGCTAGTTCACTGTCAAGGGAGGTTCAGTCCTATACAATGCATAAACCAATCCGCAGATAGCTTTTGCTCTTTTGACGCTTGCTTCATTTCCATCAAGTAGGTAGTCGGTTTTAGGGGATTTTGGTGACTTTAGGGATTTTTTTTATTTTATTTTTTACAGATGGCGCAGTAAGCACTGGAAAGGGATGGAATTTGTCAAACAAGGCCGTTTTGTAATTTTATCCTACATTTAATCGATCCTGTGATCATGGTGTTTAATATTGTAGTTTTAATTAATTTTATTGAACATTGATTATGTCATAGAGAGACAATATGAATATCGGAGTGTAAGAATTGTAAGGGAATAAAGATATGAACATTGATTTTGGTTGTTTTAATTACAGTTTCCTGTAATTTTATTACCAGCAAATTTAAATTCACGCATCTAAAACGCGGTAATTTTTGTGTTTCTGATAGAAAAAAGAAGCTATTGAAATTTGTTTTTTATAATTGATTGTTTCAAATTACAGTTACCTGTTGGCGCTAATTTTAAACTTGTACGTGTAGAATGCGATTATTTTTTGTGTCTTTATTAAAAAAAGTGAAACAGTAATTTTTTATTTGTAACTTTTAAGATAAAATTACTATATTTGATTACAGTTTCCTGTAATTTAATTGCCGGCGAATTTAAATTCGCACATAAAATGCAGTAACATTGTTTCAGAATTAAATTTTCACATATAGATATTGATTTTTGTTCATTTGATTGCAGTTTCCTGTAATTTTGTTGGCAGCAAATTAAAATTTTTGCGGTTATTTTGGTGTTTTTTGTTGAAAAATGAAACTAGTGAAACAGTCATTTGTTTATTTGTAATTCTTAAGGTAAAAATACAAAAATTGCACTAAAATAATTTAAGATCCAACTTTACACACAAATCGTCTAGATTTACAATAAATTAGTGAATAAAAGCTTTCGACATGCAACTATCCATCTCTCTCAGTTCGATAGTTCCATCTCAAACTATATACACCTTCCTCCCCCACCTTATGGCAATAACCTAGGATGGAACCTCCCCATGTGTAAAATAAGCCCACTCGGATTATGCCTCACAAAGTACAAAAATGGCCGATCGAACCTCAACCTAGGCGTTTCGGGCAACCTAGCCTGTCTCGGTCTTTGCGCTAACGGCAAATCCAGGTACCTGGGATCATGCAACGGGTCATGAAACGCCCTCTGGTAGTACTCCCAGTCCAAGCTCCGCCTCTCCGCCGTGGCCGGATACACCTCCTTGTGATGCCCCTCTCCAACTCGCCCCTCCCCGCACGTCGCAAACTCGTTCAGTTGGACGACGTCGGACAAGTACAGTTCGTGGGCGGCGCCGTTCAGCCCCTTCAAATCCGCCTTTTGCGAATCGAACAGCTCGTGCAAGCCCATGCGTTTCAGGGATTGGGTGGCGTTGACCAATGAGCGGTGTTGGAAACGTGGGATTTGCAGTTCCAAGCCGGGGCGGGGGATGAGCGAGCGGAGGAGGCGTGACCACGCCCCTTTCTTGAACGAGCTCTCGACGAGGCGTTTCTCGAGGCGGGAGAGGCCGTCCCCGGGGGCGGTGACGCCCTGTTGTCCTGGGATTATGAAAATTGTCGAGATGGTGGAGTCTTTGGAGCCGAGGGCGGCGGCGGTGGCGTCGAGGCTGGGTTCGTAGCCGGCGACGAAGCCCGAGCGATAGACAGTGGCGGGGATGGGGATGAGGCGGCGCTGGCGGAGCGAGGGGAGGACCACGAAGTGGAGCTCCCCGTCGCGGCCTTCCGTCGAACCTTGCGAACAATCCGTCTAAAAAAAATTAAAATAATTATACAGGATGATTTTTTATTTTTCACAATTATACAAGGTGTTTTATAATCTCACAGTATTACCCAACCTTTATACCCGACAATTTATTTCGTACTCTGATTTTTTTTCAATAATCAAAAATTGTTTATGAAGATTTTTTTTAAGAATATTTTTGAGTTATACAGGCTGCGCCAGAACTCGCGCCCCAGACAAAATTTTCAAGTAAAGTAGGATACCAGAAACATGAAAAAAATGTTTAAAAAATTCTATCTGTCAAAAAATTTTGACATATTTTTTGACATTTGACATTTTTTTATATCTATTTAATGATACTGATGACGTTGTATATGTTTTTTTACAATTATTTAGTAAAGGGACTTGCCAATAAAAGCCACAAATAACATTGAACAAAGTTACAATTTAGGATACAGCTTCCCTGTTTCCTCTTTTAATAGCCTATAGCAAAAAAACTTGAAAAATTATTTTTCCAACAGAAATAAATAGTCAAAGTGCAAACTTTAAACCCTCATAACTTCGAAATTTTTATAGATAAAATTTTTTTAACATTTTTTCCATGTTCCTGGTATCTTACCTTATATGGCATTTTTCTCTGGGGCGCAAGTTCTGGCGCACCCTGTATAGGGTGTTTTTTATTTCATCGTACCCAACTTTTTATACAAATCTTTTTTTTTTTGGTTTATTACATGTCATAAAACCTTGTTTTGCTATTGCAATTTAACATATTTTTTTTGGAAATTTTTGAAACGCCGCAATCGAAATAAAACAACAATCGTAACATTTTCAGGGCACTTTTTCCGAGTTTAATTTAAACTCATAAAAATATCATACATTTTTCAGTTTTTAAAAAATATAAAAAAACAAGTATATACAGTATATACATTAATAAATTAATTAATTAAACTCAAGACATACCGACTATATCTTTGGAAAAAAACTATATTTTTATATGTTGGAAGTCGCCAAAACTGCACCAAATAAAGTTATTTCCTATTATACAGGATGTTTTATTATTCTAGAATCTTTCCTAAATATTTTACAAACGACAACTGAATTTTTTTGTGCTGTTATTTACTTATCTTTTCATTAGTGAAAAATTTTTCTTGAAGTTTTTGTTTCAAGAAAAAAAACTTTTATCAAAATTTGTACAGGGTACTTTTTGCACAAAAAACCACATTCTGTTGTCTATAAAATACCATACAACCATGTTTTGCTATTGTAAATTAGAGTTTTTTTTATTTTGCTATGAAATTTTTGAAAAACTTTTCAACGTCGCAATCGAAATAATAAAACAAAACAGAATGGTAGCATATTTAGAACACTCTTAAACAGATATTGATTTAAATTTAAATTTTGACGTATTTTAAAAATTATATAAAAAAATAAGTTTTATAGAGTGACTCATTAATTAAACATCTGCTGCCACTGTCTATATTTCTGAAAATAAAAATAAAATTTTTTGATATGTTGTACAATCGCCAAAAACACATCAAATATGTTTTTTTCATAGAGATAATATTAATACTACGTCCATGGTTTTTTTTTACAATTATACAAGGTGTTTTATTATTCCGGTGAATTACCCAACTCTTATCTACAAATGACAACCGACAATTTTTTCGTACTTTCACTTATTTATTTTTTCAATAATCGAAAATTATTCTTGAAGATCTTTTTTTTTAATATTTTATCAAAATTTATAGAATGTTTTATTATCACAGGATCGTACCCAACTTTTTAAACAAAGAACCACTTCCTTTGGTTTATGAAAAGTCATTTGCAATCGCAAATTTGCAAATTAGAACTTTTTTAAAAATTGTGTTATGACATTTGTGAATAACTTGGCAACGCCGCAATCGAAATAATTTAAGAAAACAGAATCATGACATTTTTAGGGTCCTTTTAACCAGACTTTGTTTTAGATTTGTAAAAATAAATAAATTTTGAGGAAATTAAAAAACGTTTTAAAAATGTATAAACTCATTAATAAACATTGACTATATTTCTGAAAATAAAAAATACATGTTGTACAATTGCCGAAACTACATTATTTTTTTACAATTATACAGGGTGTTTCATTATTCCAGGACCGTACTCATCTTTTGTTTTACAAACGCAACCGACATTTTTTTTAAATTTTTGCCTAGTTGGGTAAAAGCCATATTTCTGGTGTGGTTTTTCTAATTTATTATTTTTTTACACTTTTGACCAGACTTTAGACCACTACAAAAAATATTTTTTCCAAAAATTTAACAATGCTACAACGAATAAATACATATATACCGGGTGACTCATTAATTAAACATCGTAAAATACTGACCATATTTTTGCAAAAAAAAAACACACTTTTTGATATGGTACACCTACAATTGCCGAAGCTGCATTTAGTAAGATTATTTGCAAGTGTACAGGGTGTTTTATCACTCCAGGGCCGCGCTCAACTTTTTGCATTAAATATCAATATTTATTGGATTTTGCTTGCGACGTTGCCATTTTTTGTAAACTTAGGGGGCACCAACCTGGAAAATGCTGACACTGACTCCAGCCAGGGGCGGCTTGGGCACTAGATTCCCATCCTTGAGGAACTCCGCAATCCTCCCATCTGTATTTTTCTTGACTAGGAGGTTAGTCCTCCTCCTGATAACATCCCCAATCTCTCTAAAACTCGCCTCCTCGACATGCCCGTCATAAAACTGCCTCACCCTCTCCTTATAGAAGCCCAACAACTTCCCCTTACTCCTATCACTGTACAACTCTCTGATAATGGCCGAGACGGCCACCCCCGAATCGGGGGTAGCTTCAATCGACTCTGAGACATTTTTAAAAATGAGATGGGGGTTGAACGTTACCATATCGTCCAGTTTGAGAATCTCATTCATCTCCCCTGAGGTGGCCCCCCGGGCCCCCAGGAACACCATAGCGAGGAGGGAGGTGGCTGCGAAGGGGGACACCACGACACTACGGGCCGAACTTAGCCCATTTGTCACACTTTTCCAAAATCCGAAAGCCAATTCATTGCACAATTGGACGAATTGGTAAATATCGGTGTCTAGGTTGGCAGTACTGTCCTCCAATCCGAAGCCTTGGAGGGGTTTAGGGACCAAATCAACGGGAGCGGGAGGATCAACAATTGAGATAAGTGGGGATTGAGTGGTTTGAGGAGGTTGAGTTGTGTGGGGGGAGAGAGTGGAAACAAGAGTCCAGGTACCACCTGAATCGTTTTTGGTACTTTCGTTAATTGTGATCTCAATTGAGGGTTTAGCTTCGGTTGTGGTACTACTGGTACTAGTACTAGATTCAGTTGTAGTTTCCTCAGTTGTGGTACCAACAGTGGTTTCGTCGAGTACCAAGGTACCATTTTTGCGCATTTCGTCAATCATCGCGTCGTATTCCATTTCTAGACTCAAGTCAGCTTTGGCCGGCTTGGGTTCATTCCGGATAATTGTAATATTGATGATGTGACTCTCGGATGGTACCGTGGTTGGTACTACTGTCGTAGTTTCTGGTTCCACGGTCGTCGAGAATTGCAAAATTTGCGACAAAAGCGAATCAACTGAATCACTCAACAAATCACGATCGTCGATTGTTGTAGTTTCGGTAGTTGGTACCACTGTTGTTACGCCTATTAGACTGGAACCTGCTGTGGCAGTCTCGGCCATAACCTCATCCATTGTTTTATTCGCACTCTTTATCATCATTTCTTCCACCATCGAGGCTTCTTTTTGTGTTTCCATGACCGGTCCAGGCGTACCAACCGCCTGGGAAATAAGTTGTTCAATTGTCTCAATAAACGTCTGATCGGTCGTGGTCGATGGTACTTCCGTTGGATTCGTAAGTCGGATCAAAAATTTCTCACTCGCCTCGGTCGTCTCGGTTTTTTCCTCACTACTAGTGCTAGTACCTTCGGATAATTGCGAATTGATTTCGTAGATGTTAGTTGAGGTGAGGAGGAACTGTTCAAGATCGGGTACTGTCGATTCTGTTGTGTTGGTACTCACTGTTTTGATCGTCACGTATTCGGTACCAAGGGTACTCAAGTCGGGTTCTGGCCGGTTTTTGTTATCATTAATCAGGAAAAAGGTACTAAACGTACCAAAAGTTGACGTCTCTTCTTGCGGTGGAGTTGTTGTCGTCTCAGGTACCACTTTCTCAGTGGTACTTGGCCTTTCAGTTGAAATTGTTGTCGTTTCAGTGATTCGTAGCCTTTCAGTTGAGGTTGTTTCGGTGGTACTAGGCTTTTCAGTTGTTGTTGTTTCAAGCTCTGTTGTTGTTGTCGTGGACAACTCTGTTGTAGTTGTTGTTTCTTGTGCGATTTTCTCAAACTGGACACTGGCTTCTGGTACTACCGTCTCTTCCACAAGTTCTGTTGTTGTTGTTGTTGGAGGTTTTGTTGTTGTTGTGGTTGTTGTAGTGGTGGAAGGCGATGTTATTAAAGTCGTAGTCCTTGTGGGCCTTCTTAAGGGCTTAAAGGTGGTACTTTTGGCCGGGAAAGGCCTTTTCGTCCCTTTCCTTACGTTGTTTTTGAACTCGACGTCCTGTTGTGGCTTGATTTCAACAACAGGTGACAAGTTTTCAGTTCTCTCAGTCGTCGAGTTTGAGTTTGTGATGATTTCAACATTGATCATAGGAGTACTAGTAGTACTAGTGGTAGTACTAGTACTACTAGTACCATCGGTTTGCAAAGTCATGACTTTCTGAGTGGTCGAGATTTGCTCAGTGGTGGCCATTACCAACACCGTATCAGGTGTCACGTGACTAGTGGGCGGTTCCGGCTTAATATCCGCCCCCGAGTTGCCAAAAACGGCTGGAAGTATCATACTCCACGAATCGGACACATCCGGAGTATCAAACTCCGGTTTTTCCGGATTCTTATGTTGCTTGATTTCCTCCTTAAGCACATTTTGCACATTATTGACCACATCGTTGACTCTTTTTTCCGGCATGAAAGCATCAAGTGTGACGTCATCATCACCGGTTGCTATGATATCTTGGATTTCCTCTAGTGTCATCAATCTTTTAATCAAATCACCATCATCATCAAATGTGTAAAACTCATATCGATCGGGATTTAGTAATTCGATGGGACTGGCAACATCAGTTGCGACGTGTGGTTTTGATACAGGCTTGCCAACCGCATCGGTGTAAATTTTCGAACCGTTTCCGGCGTCCATTATGACGGAAACCGATGTGACGACACTGAAACAAATCGAGATAACTGTGAGAGGAGATTTATGATTCACAGATGGTTAATGAAATGGCAAAAAATTGCTAATATTTATGGCCTGGTTAGCAATGATGGGCACCGTTTGTTGACGATTAAAACGGAAAAGATAATTGTAACACGATCGAGTGAGCGCTGAGCCGGAATTGACAGTTAATTGTTTCGAGGGACACCTCCCCTCACGCGGCCATTACATCGCAAAATTACCGCCCCTATTGCGGTACATGTTACTAAGGGACGCGTATTCCCCTCTTGCGGCCATTACATGGTTAGATACATTTTAAATAAAAATTGTTTCTTTATATTGGGATTTTAAATGTGATTTTCATAAAATCAATCAAAAATTTAGCGTGTTTTTACACGCACATTTACCTCTTCTTCCACGGCCATTATACTAATTGCTATTTTAACACTTCTTCTCTCGCGACTATACATCACACAATTTCTACATTTTCAACTATTACCTCCCCTCTTTAGGCCATTACATATTACTACAGGACGCGTAATCCCCTCTTTGGGACGCTTTTGGCCCCTCTTGGGGCCATTACATGTTTTTTTTTATTCTTTTATTTTTATTTGAATTCTAGATTTTAATGTTTTTGTATTTTCTTCTCAAAAATTCTTTAGATATGGAGAGCACTTTATATTTTTTTCATTTTGATATGTTTACCTCTTTTCCGGCGGCCATTCTACTAGTTGTTATTTTATTACTTCCCCTATCGCGGCCATTAACTCACACAATTTATACATTTATTATTACTTTACAATTATTACTTCCCCTATTGCGGCAAGAGCTACATATTCCTCTATCTCAAGATCAAATATCAAATTTTAAACGTAATTTGATAAGATTAGTTACAAATTTAACAAGTTTTGATCTCATTTTGGCAAAAATTTTTCAAATAAAATGGTTAACCTTTCCTCAGGCGACCATTATACGTATACTGCTAGGTTTTATTTCATCACTTCCCCTCTCGTGGCGATTGTAAGATTACATTTTAATGTAAACTATCAAAAAAAATATTTTTCAGCACAATTTTTTTTAGTTTTCACTTATTTTGACACATTTTAAACGAAAATTGTGATAGTATTTTTACTATTACACAAGGCGACAAAAAAAAGTCACGTCGTGACAACTTGACAAATTTTATATCATTTTGTTCGTCTCAGTGAGACAAATCAAATGCACTAAAAAAAATTAAAAAGTTCACACTTTGAACAAAATTTTTTTTTTTCTAATTTAAATGAATTTAAAATACTTTCAATTGCACCTTCTTTGTTCTAATTACAATAAACAAAAACTGTTTGTTTACTTAAAACAAATAAAGAGTACCTTCGTACTAATTAAAGCAATAAAGAGTTTTTTTGTTGTAAAAATGACCACTGATCATTATGCAAAGAGGATCTAGAAGTTACGAAGGTACGAGCCTTAAATATAAGGGCAAATCTTTTCCAAATGAGATCACTTTCTATTCAGATTTCGACTTGTTCACTTTGTTCTAGCTTTCTGAACTTTTTTTGAAAATGTTCTGAGCAAATGCTTTCTAATCACTTTTGAGTGATGTTAAATGCAATAAGACACCTGATTTATTTTGTTGGTACGATTAGCTTCAGTTAGCTTGTAGATAGTAATTGTTGTAATAACAGTTGCACACGAAGCAACTGACTTATTGCATTCAATATCAGTAGAAAGTGATGAAAAAGCATTGGCTGAGAACATTTTCAAAAAAAAGTTCAGGAAGCTAGAACAAAGTGAACAATTTAGAATCTGAATGGAAAGTCATTTAATTTGAAAAAGATTTGTTCTTATTTTTAAAGCTACTGCTTTAAACTTCTAGATCCTTTTTGCTCAATGATCATTGATCATTTTTAAAACAAAAAACTCTTTATTTGCTTTAATTAGTACGCAGGTATTATTTATTTGTTTTAAGTAAGCAAACAGTTTTTGTTTATTCTAATTAGAACAAAGAAGGTGCAAACCATTTTTAAGCAAAAGAAGAGTCTTAAAACAAATACTTTTATAAAAATGCAATTTTAAGTAAAATTAACATGAGTTTCTCCTATATGGCGCAATACCTGAATAGCAAACCTTAACTTCAAAAAATTATATCTTAAAAACTACTCGGTATATTATTTTAAAAATTTGGATTCCAACTAATAAAAAGATGCTCTACACGATGCCGAAAAAGAAAAAAAATTTACTCGTAGGGTTTTTCTTAGATTACTTCGATTTACTTCGAACTTCTTCGAACACTGTTCGAAGGAAAGTTTGCCAATATTCAATTTCAAATTCATATCCTCCTAAAGGGTAAAGCCATCCCTTTAAAATGGTTTTTATTTGAAGGAAATCGGCATAATAGTTATTGAGTAATGATTTTTTAAATTCAAAGTATTTTAAATTCATTTAAATTAGAAGGGTTGATTCCCACCTTAAAATTGAGCCAAAAAAATTATTTAGTTCAAAGTGTGTGGACTTTTTGAATTTTTTTTAGTGCATTGTCTTGCTGAGACGAATAAAATGATATAACATGTGTCAAGTTGTCACGACACAACTTTTTTTTGTCGCCTTGTGTTATTATTCTGTTTATTTTTACACTAATTTACCTCCTTTCTCGTGGCCAATACATTGTTGAATATTAATAACGTTTCATTTAAAATTGGTAAAAAAAACACGTTTTTAAAACAAAATTATTTATTTTTTAATGTTTACTTCCCCTCTTGTTCTTGCGGCCATTACAACTAAAAAATCACATTTTTTGTTCATTATTTGATTTCAAATTTTATTTATTTTTGCCATAATGTGTGACATTTGAAAAATCGTGAATATTGGACCAAATTAATCACCCCCCTCCCCCTTGCGGCCATTACTCTATCGCTTGTTTCCAAATCCCGCCACCTACACGAAATAATGCAAAACACTCACCTAGACCCTAGCACCTTTCTGTCCCCGTCGTTGGAGTCTTCCGCCGCCGCCAAAAGGGCGAGAAGAAGCAGCCGCCACATGCTTCTGTAAACAAAAATCAAGTGATCAGTGTCGACTTCCCCTCACGCGGCCATTATCCCAGCCGACTTAATTGCGTTGTTATAACTGTAGCGTTTTGGTTACTCAATTCGGCTAATTATTAACGATGCAACAATAACGTTATTTATTCTAATGTAACGGCTGTGAATCCGATGATATAAATCCGTTACATAATAAAAAAAAAGTTATGCACGCATATACTTCCCCTCTCGCGGCCATTACCGCCCCTCTCGGGGCCATTTTTCGGTAATTTGGGGTTAGGTAGTGTGTCAATGGCTCTATTGAAGCATGCAACAGGTTGTAGGTGTGGTATTTACCTACTTGTTATTCCAACACGATCGTACCATTGCACCTACCCATATATTAAGTGCTCCACAATACCATAACGTCGATTAATCATTAAGAAATGCTCCTTAACCCAATTTTCCCACGTGATTTCAAACACCGAAACTATAACTAACAGTACTTGTGAAAAATTTTTTTAGTTTGTTATATTAAACAAGCCCTCAAGTGGTTTTATGCCTAGAAACCCAGATTTCGAAATATGCTAATGCTCGCCATTCATGGCAAATAAACGTTTATTAATTGATAAATGGGACGAGTTTGAATTACAATGGGACATAAAAGTCGACGAGTAATGGGATGTGTCGTTAAGGAACGTAAATCGAACGACATATAAGGGGAAAATGTGGGAATTTTGCAGGAAATGGAATTTGAAGAGGGAAGAAAGTCGGATTTCCATGAATCAGGAGTTTTGCGATGGTTAAATAAAGGTAAAAGTTCGATGGCCGTGACAGGAAATGTGCTCTAATCAGGTGTGAAAATTGAAGGTTCGGCATTTTTAGGTTTGTTTTTTAAAAAAATTATGAAAATAATACATTTTAAGAGACGTTTTGGGCTTTACCTCCCCTCCCGCGGCCATTACGCCAATAAAAACAAAAAACTGCCTTTAGTCTCAATTTAATGTAATTTTTTCAATTATTTAAACAAAACTTTTTACTTAAAATTTTGTTATTTGTTAGCATTTTAACAAACATTATAACATTTTTAGGTTCAAAATATTTATTTTGATTTTGATACAAAATAATAATTTTGTAAGATACTTCCTCTGTTACTGCCATCACAGTTAACTAGATTTTAAAGTAAATTTTACATTTTGATAATAATCTGACAAAAATTTCGATCCTATTTATGAAAATAATTACTGTCACTGATCATTTTGGGGGTAGTTAACTCCCCTCTCGCGGCCATTACATCAAAAAAATAATTAAGAAAAAAGAAAATTACATTTTAATTTTAATTGAATATGATATTAAAGCAAATAGAACAATAATTGAAGTGTTTTTCAAGTTTTTAAGACAAAATTTGCATTTAGGGAGTAGTTTTAAAGATTACTTCCCCTCTTGCGGCCATTACATTAATTGACATTTAATTATTGTTCGTCATTAGTGTCGAAGACCCTTCTTCTAACGAGCCAAGGGTTGGTTACTTCCCCTCTCGCGGCCATCACACTAACCATAGTCGACTAGATCTTAAAAAAATTCAAATTTTGACATCAAATATCCAACAAAGGTTTTAATTCATTACTTAAAATTTTGTTAAGAACAAACATAACATTTTTTTGTTTCAAAACATTATTTTTGTGATTTTTTTTTTAAATAGTGCGTTTTAATGGAGATTTTGTAAGAAACCTCCTCTCTTACCGCCTTCACATTAACCTTAGCTAACTAGATTTTCAAAGTAAATTTTAACTCTTGATAATATGACAAAAATTTTGTACCAATTTATTAAGATCAGAAAAAAAGACAAGACTTGTATTTGTTTGAAATTTAACAATTGTCACTGGTCACTTTGAGGTTAGTTACCCCTCTCGCGATAAAAACAAAAAATAATCGAGGATTTTTACTAAAAATTGTTCATTTAAGTATGTTTTTTACCTCGCCATTACTTGACAACAAATTCAAACACTAAAAAAAAAACTAATTTGAATTTCAATTAAATAACATTTTTTTAATTATTTAAACAAAACTTTTATTTAGAGGGTTATTTTGAAGATTCTTCTCCTCTCGCGGCTATCACACTGATCATGGATGACTTGATCTAAGAAAATTTTTGGTGCAAAATATTATTTTGGTCAAATTTTGTAAAATGCCTCTCCTCTTGCGGCCATCACATTAGTCACAGTTAACGAAATTTTAAAGTAAATTTTAAGTTTTCATAACAATCTGACAAAAATTTGATCCGATTTATGATTTATTGTAAAAAGAAAAATAATAACACAAGACTTAAATTTGTTTGTGATTATTGTTCTGGTCATTTTGGGGTTAGTTTACCTCCCCTCTCGCGGCCATTACCCAAATCCCCATATCACAATTTAAAATCTTTTAGTATTTTTCACTTTTCTGATCAAAAAAACTGAAAATTTCCACACGAAATCGTGTAATTTTTTTTACCCTGAGTGTATTTCCAAGTCGAGCACAATTCTCGCTTTGATGCACACTTCTCGGAGTCAATGGCACAACTGGCGAAGAGTCAGAGAGTGCTCTGGTCAGGTGCTCGACCTTGACCGCTGGACCAACGGAGGCAGAGTTTGTGCCGCCGCCACCACCACCGCCACCGCCACTTTGCTATCTTTAGAGCGATTCGCGATGCAGCAGTGTGCATTAATGATGCAGCAACGGCTGGTCCACTGACAGATATTTCAACGAGAATATATCGACCAAGCGACGGTTTATTTACGAGGCGATTTTAGCGCCAGGATGAGTCCCGAGGGAGTGCACCGGGAATAAACTTTCAGATGGGATGAGGATTAATTAAGTCACAAGAGCTTAAGTCAGATATTATTACTACTATTATTATTATTATTTTGCAAAAACAAAACAAAACTGTTTCTATCTCACTTCAACCTTTGTCTATTTCATTATTAAAAGATATAATCTAGTTGGCCATGATTTGACAACAGTAGCTTCATTACATTCGTGTTTTTTGTCTTTTTCTTACATTGTGTCAAGATTTAATCTTCTCAATGTTAAGATTGTAGAGAATACCTTTTTATCAGGTCTTGAAATCTTTAATCGCTTTTAGATCAGGATTATTTCTTTTTTTTTTCTAAATTGCTTTTTGTCGAGCAAGAACTTCAAAAAAATTATTAAATATTTTGAATGAAAAAGTAATTAAGATCTTGAAACAATTCATTAAGATTTTGAAGAATGTTCCAACGTTTTGGAAAAAAAATCCAGTGGGTCATGATTTGACCACAGCGGGTGTCTCGCTTCATTGCGTACGATGTGTGTTTTTATCTCTTTTTCTAACATTGTGTCAAAACTTAATCTTTTCGAGGTTAAGATCGTCGAATATTTGTTGTCTCAAATTTTGAAATCTTTAATTGCTTTTAGATTAAGATTATTCCTCGTCAAGATTTTGAAAGAAAATTACACATTATTAAGATTTTGGAAGAATATTTTAATGTTTTTTGGATTATAAAAAAATTATTTTGTTGGTCATGATTTAATATAGTTGCTGCCTCGCTTTTTTTTCTAGCGTAGTATCAAAATCAAATCTTTTTGAGGTCATCAAGATTGTAGAGTATAATTTTTATTAGATGAAATCTTTAATTGATTTTAAATCAAGATTATTCAGTTTTTTTGTTTGAAATTCCTCTTTGTTGAGATCTTGAAAGAAAATTTTAGATGTTTTTAATTAAAAAATTAGTTATTTGAAAAATAAAAAAATTAAAATCTTGAAACAACTCATTTTGGAAGAATGTTTTAACGTTTTTCAATGGAAAATTAAGATCTTGAAATGTGACTTTTATTGTTTTTCTTTAAAATAAAAAACTGTTTCCGTTAATCTTGAAACGATATTTTTGAGATTGAGAATCTTTTCTTCAAAAGTCTT